ACTAATATCTTTTCATTGGCAAGGGTATTACGTTTTGCTTTAGAGGCCTTACAAAGGCTGACCGAAACGTCTAAGCCACTAGAACTCGTAATTCCTTCGAGGACTAATTTTTCTTGCTCCCTACACTACATTTGGTACGCGATTTTAGATTCAAAGTTAATTAAACTTAAACGGATACGTGCAGGTGTAACTTAAGGCCACATATCTGGAGTATTCTCTATTTATTATTTTAGTTATAGATAATAAAATTACGGATTTATTTCCCCGCGAAACGAACGAGCGAATTTCTGTAAAAGCAACGCTCGTCCTGAACGGCGGTTTGAAATAACAGTTTCTGGCTGGTGATTGCGTTCCTTCATACCCGTAATGGCGGTTAAGACTGATAACCGGAAGTCGGGCGCAAGGGAAAACGAGGCGATCGGCAGAGTGTAGTGAGTCAGTGAGACACGGGCTGAGTCAAAGGTAACTGTAGGTTAGGTGAGTGCATGGGATGGGATGATATGAGGTTAGGTTGGCGGTCGACGGGGCTCGCCTTGGTCTGGCACCGCTAGTCCTTCCCGTATTGATCGCGTGCTCCTTTCCTCCCTTAGATACCACCCCCTTTTGCGCCTTACGTATCGCCAGCTTTCCTCTTACCTTGGCGTCGGCACTGCCGAGACACTGGCCATGGATCCTTGAATCAGTGACGTTCGTTCTTCCTTGAAATCATTCATTACGTTCACTTACTCTGATCTTTCATGTGCTCATCTTTGATTTCTGTCAATTACTTTGCTCCTCTTCTGATTTTATTTGACGTGTAACGAATAAGCAGTTGCTCGAAATGAGACACCTCAGAAAAACAGATCCTTCGTGTTGGGCTTTTCTAACTCCGATAATAAAGATGTTAACGAAACTAGTCGCCAAAAACATGAACAATACTCGACGGAACTACAATTTTTATAATTTATATTCCTAACGACATCCAATCTATGATTTGCAACGCACAAGTCTGAAGAGGTTAGAATGCGCAGTCGATACTAGCGCCGTCACGCGTCTCACACAGAATTGGGCAAATGACATTTTCGAATAATTCTCAATTCGCTCGTAAACTAGCCCCTAACTAGAATTTCTTGATGAATTTTTCTGAATTTTTCTCAACGTCCACGTTATTCGTAAATAAAATTCGTCCGACTCCGGTGTGGAGAAAGCAAAGTCCAGTTAGGACAGCTCAATCCTCGCGATAAATTAAAATTGAATGGTTGGCGCAGGACGGGGCAAGAAACCAGCCCGAGTGTGTCGCCGTTGCGGAGAGATGCAGATGCGATTAATCATTTGCGGCTATAAAACACTTTCGAGCAACTTTTCCCGGCTCGACGTTTTCCGGAAGCGCGCCGTCCAGCCATCCGAACCGACTCAGACGTTAACAAAATGGCGCAGGGATTTTTTCGTAGTGGCTTTACAACTATGCGCCCACCCCAGCCCCTAACAGTGTCCATAATTAATTACGCCCGAGCATGGAACCTTTCACGAAGGCCATTATCGTGGTTATTATTATTTTATCGTTCGAGTGTTTACGTTGGACGGTTATTTTATTTTTATTATTTCTTTCGGGTCACGTTAGATGATTTAGGCCGATGGTAATGATTTATGGTATTTGGTAACCGTTCTAATAGACCAGAACTTTCGTAATTTCTAATTTATACACGTTGTATCTATATAATTTATATGAACGATAGAAAAATTCGAACAAAATTTTACCCGTTTTTGCTTGCAGCCAATAAGTCCTGTTCGAGTCGTTTCGTTCGTACCTCGAGGCAAATTGCGCGAAAAAAGAATATGGAAACGCGTGTAGTATCGCCTAGCTCTCATTAATGAGAGGACCATTTGCGACACGATAGTTACGGAGTTCTCATTAACATGTATGCACATGTAATTAAGAGGCCTGCTGAAAGACGTCGTTTGTCGTACCACCTTGTGGTACACGATGCTCAAGCGCTTAATTAGCAAATATTCCAAACGGCGATCCGTCGGAGGAATGGCCTCCGGGATACAACCAAAAGGCAGTAAATTTATAGAATGATTGCCCCGTCGTGTATGCGCTGTGACTTAAAAAACCCTTATCAGCGGTGTACGCACGAACGACAAAGTTGCAGCTGGTGAAGCTGCCCGTTGTCGATGAGCCACCGCACCCCTCCCAAACACACGCAAATCGAGAGAAAACGAATAATCTTGTAGCCCTAATGAACGTGGACTTCGTTATGAATTTATTGCGTAACCAAATTTACCTTGTCCAATCGAATCACCCCGAACGAAACCCTTTCAAAGCGTATGCAAAGGAACCGAGCGCTCACCGATCGGATGCACTCGAGTTTATTTATTCGTTTGAAATTGAAAAACGTTCGACTAGGAAGAAATCAACTGTACGGTACTCAATTCGAGTCTCGAAACTTTTTGCTCGGTTATTGTGTGCAGCCACCATGAATCAACGAATGCGGACAAATTGTAAAGTGAAAAACGTTTTCCTAGATTCATCTGTAAGCGCGTTGCGTGTGCTAGGCGTTATTTATAAAAAATGTGAGAAGTTTATGTACGTACTTATACGGTGATCTCTACATAGTAATGTCTAGGAGGACGTTAATTGCCGACGTGTAATGAATTATGTGTTGATTAAATTACTTCGTAATTGCATTTAGTGTCCATAAACGCGATCTCCGCGGAATAAAGGTCTCTTTCTATTTGTATTAATGAAATTCCAGACGCACTGGAAAACGTACGTCGATTATCTGATTTATGTGCAAGTCTGATGCACGGAGCATAGAGTCAAGAAGCTCCAGAAGACCTAACAAGGATAACCGTAATTAATAGTAAATTTTATCTCGCCATCTAATTTATTACGGCTTGTCTTCCGATAGGGATCTGTAACACCTATGATATAGAGAAATTACAAAGAATACAAATTGGCGTTTAATATTAAATAGATGTTTAACGTCTCTTATATTATATTTCCACTACCCTTTCTTTAAAAGATTTTCCTTGCGAAGGATTTTCATTAGGAATCGTTCCACGTTAGGGAATTACTTGTAAGAAAATGGTTTTTAAATGTTGTTTCTAAATATTTTTGATCCACCGCCCCCTTGAGAAAAGGATCTTTCTATAGTTAAGATTTAGATCCTGTTTATCGTGCCCTCTTAAGTAGTATGAAAGATTGTGCGATTAGGATAAATAGGATCATTTCCACGCGGGGTAACGTGCAAAGTGTTAACGATGCGCACGTTCGAGGAACGAATTAGAAAGAAAATTGCACGTAGGAAAGCCCAGCCAGCGGTATCGAGAGCTATAATTCCGATCCTAGTTATTTCTAAGATCTGCATACTGGCCCGTGTCCGTGCCCGTGACTTCCAGTTGCATGAGCGAAGAAAATGGAAAGATTTCGTGCGTGAAGTATTATTGGCGACCCGCTAATACACGAGAGTCAAGGTGAGGATGAAGGGGTATTAGAAGTTCACGCTTGGACGGAACACGCGAATACTCGCAACCGGCACGCGACTGATTTGCTGGTCGCTCACGCGAGAAATAAAAATCCGTCGATTTTTCTTCTCGTTTCGTCTTCCACTATACTTCCCGGACCCCAGACACCGTCTGGACTCATTTTCCGATTAACCCCTACCTCCGATCCACCAGCGACTCGACCACACTTTCGTACGAAACGGATCTTCGGGTCCATTCGCGTCACTTTTATCCATCTTGCAAATTGAATTTTCCTCCTCCGCGTTGCGTGGCGACTGGATCGCCGCAGGAAAGCGATTTTCCAGCGATCCAAACCCGTTTCGAAGTCTAAACGCAATCGAGCCGATTACGGATGGTCCCGAGGGTATGGCGCGCTTTACAGAAATGGCTATGTCGGCCATTTCGAGGGGACGTAGCGGGGCGCAGGCGGCGAGAAAATCCTATTACAGCTTATATTCGTGGTACAGGGGCTCGATTGAAGCTCGGGGGAAGCTCACCCTCCGCGCGGATCCGTATTGACGTGACCACCGAGAGAAACCCACCCTCCGGATTAACCAATCAAATCGCAGCATCCGTCGCGCATGCGATCGCTTCGATATCCATCCCCCAGGTCAATCGGTTATGGTGTCTGGGAAGCAAGGGATGGCTTTCGAGGCGGTTCCTTTTTACGGAGGGATGGCTTTCAGGGGCTTGCGCGAAATTAGAGGGGTTGAAGCTATGGAGTATCGTCCTTTTTTAATTTCATCGAATTGTGGAAGCAATCAATTTCAATCCCTTGCAGTCGGTACTATTCAATTCGGATATATTCGATTCCCAAGTACTTCATTCGAGAACATCCAATTCCAGTGTTTTCAGATACATTTACAAACGCACTCAATTCGAAAGTATTCGACTTGAATTCAGTTCAGGTGCATACAATTACACGGTAAATTCGAAAACACCCAAGTATTCGAACGAGTACAATTCAAAAGCATTCGAGTGGCCACCATACGTTTGATAACGGAGAATTCACATTTCATTCCGCAGACATTTCACGATCGACCAATTACCCCCCGTGAAACATCTCGGTAAAAGGAAAATCGGTCGAAGGTCGCGAGAACCGAGGGATATCGATGCAGAGGCGGATCTCTTCATATTTCAGAACAATAACGTCTGTCTGGCGTGCCAGGCACGGGCACCTACGGCAACGGGTCGAAATAAAACAAAACAATACACATTTAGCTCGAAACAAAGCGAGTAGACTAGACTTAAACGACTCCCCGTGTCGGAGATATAGCTCGACCGTTTAAACTAGGACGGATATTTCGGGCTTTGATACGAACGTTCGAGTTTCGAGCTCGTTTTGGTATTTGAAAGCCCCCGGTATATCGGTACGTCGATAAATGGGAAAACTTTCTTGGACGTTTTCAGTGAGTTTTCGAACTCTCGTTTTCGGAAAGGAAACGATCTTTCTACGATTCTTTTTCTGCTGAAAGCATGAACTCTAATTGATCGTAAACTATTGTTTGTTACAGGCGCTGAACGGGTTCCTGCTCATACTCACTTGCGACGGAGAAGTGTTCTTCGCCACTCACAGCATAGAAAGTTACCTTGGCTTCCATCAGGTATAAATCTTTCACAGAATTGTCAACCTAAACCGACCACCTGCCAGTAAATACACCGTGCACAAATACGCATATCGTTGGAAATCGTCAAGAAACGAACGATGTGCGTGTCTCGGCTCGTGTGCGCGTCACCTAACGAATACCCTCGATATACAGTACTGCCTCGCTTCTTGCAATCAAATCGGATCCGCCAGACTTCACGTGGAGAGGTTTCAGTATACACAATTACCACTCGAGTCAACGCTCGATCGTGGAGACGGTTCCGTCGCATGTATCCCTAACGCGGATTGATGTAAGAAGCGAGGCAGCGCTCTAAATAAAACAATCAACGTCACCAGCGGAATACAGTAAATCCTTTCATTCTGTCGCAACTTTCACCTTCCATCTTGTTCTTGATGCGCACAAAAACAAAAACGAGGTTCGTGTCGAGGAGCAATTGAATTTCTCTACGTGTCCTTTCATTTTGTCACCGTGCGGTTCCGAGCCAGCGACACTACGAAAGGATTTATCAATAGTCTGCGTCCGTCTGGATGATCAGACATCGTCGGACGTTTGAGTATCGATCGCGTGTCTCCCTAACTCGAGAAAACAATGTATTTATTCGATACGAACGGTAATATTCCTCCCACCACGTGCTCTCATTACAGCGTAATTCTAGGCATAGTACCTGCACCCTCGGCGTTCGTTTATCTTCAGTCGACTTGTGTCCACACCCAGCACTCGCCGGTCACGCCAGGCCCGTCAGCTTCGTCGTACGTGTCACGTTTACGCAAGCATCCCCCATATGCTCGCGGCAACGCACCCTTTTCCCTCGACCGACCGACGGCCGTACATTTTTCAAAAGACGCGGCCTCCTCCGTGTCGCGGACCACTTTGTTGCCAACCCCTTCAACCCTCTGCGATCCACGTCCACTTTCGAGGCGACATTTCGTGTGCTTTCGCGTTTTCCGTTGACAGCGAGTCAAGGGAAATTGAGCGACGCCTAGTTGACCGAGCAAGTGACACAAAAGGACCTTTAGAAGGGCAACGGTAAACGTTTGAGGTCGAAAGCTCGAGCTTATGCTCTTACAGGGTCGTTCGAATTCCGGGAAAATTTGTGCAAATATCGAGACTCGTGCGATTATCGGGGTAACCAAGGCAATAAGTCAACGTTTAAAGATTCCTACAGTCTTCGAGACTCGTGCAATTATCGGGGTAATTCAATAAGTGGTTAGGTTTCTGTTGGATTTTAGTTATGTTCTAATGGTTACGAGGGAAACGAGTTTGAAGATGCTTGCGAGTATCGAGATTCGTGCGACGATGGGGGTAAGCAATTGAATAATAAATTGAGGAAATTCTCAGCCTACTTACAGACGCAGGAACGAGTAATCGCAAGTGGGAACGATAAACAAAGTCCATGAAATCAGGGAAGAGGCGGATTAAACGAAGAAAAAGCCATTCGCCTTCCTACCCGGAACAGAACGATATCGTTCAACCCCCGGTGAACACACCGAAATGCGATCTGCACGCACGCAACCACGCACGCGACGGGCGACATACTGGGAGAAGAAATACGGAGAGAAAAATGGAGGAGAAGCGCAGAAAAAAATGACGGATGATGATTTCCCGACGCACGATGACTGTACACCAGAAACGCACGCGAGCGCTTTTGTGCGCAAAGTGTAATTGCAGGAAACGGCGAATGATGATTTTCCGATTCGATGATCCCGCGCACCGCGGACAAAGGAAAACGCGTTACAATCTCGCGTTTCTTGTAAACAAATTTCGCGGGGCGATCGCTCGGAACCACGTGCTCTGCCCCCCACCTCTACGTCGTGGTTCCCTCGGCGATGGCCGTTCAACTGTCCCACGAATTGAGGTTAGATTTAAGAGGAACCTTCGTCCGCGTCTCGCCTTCGCCAAAATTACGTAATCTTTCTGATACGGTTTACACATTTTATTCTAATTTGCATAATAGATACGTTATAATAATTAAGGTCAGGCTGGCGAAACATCGATACGTTGAATTTGGCCCTTTTGCCTTCGCCGCGTCAATTTTTTGTACGCCTTAATTTATATATATTTTTTCTCGTACGATAAGCGACAGTCGTTGAACAACATTTAAAAAATAATAAAAATTCGAAAGTCGCTCGCGATCAATTTATGGGGGACTGTCGAGAAATCTGGGCTGGCTATCGGAGGCCGGGGAATTTATTTTATAAAAGAAAAAGTGGCGTTTGAGATACGTTAAGCGTCGTTAAATCTTATTCGAGATATCGCGGCTATCTTGATTTACCCTCCTTTTTTTCTTCGCGCTTCGCCTCTCGAACGCATTTAACGGGTAATTTGTTTATATAAGGTAAGGAAAAGCAGCCGGTCGGCCGGCAGGAATAATTCTTTCGGTCGACTTTGCGCCAGCATTCATTGAGATGTAACCAGGCACGCAAACGGTTCGCACACACGTCACGATACCCGGGTAACGATGATTTTTCGTACCGATTAGGGGATATTTAAGAGGAACGAAGTGTGTATCGCCGCTAATAAGCGACGCAGCGATTTCTACGAGGGTGTATTTTCGTTTAACTTTAACCCCTCTTCCTACCCTCTTGATTGTAATATTACTGCTCGAGGAGAGTATAGTCGAGACTAAATACACATTATCAGGGTTAGAAACGATAAAGGACTCTATCAAACACCGTCAAACGCGTGTAAAGTCCCTGGGTGTAGACACGTATCTAGGGATTTTACTCGCCGCGTTGGCAGCGACCTCTTTTGGTTGCTAGAACTGACCAGCAGGGGGCTACGAGCCGAGATCTGTGGTTCCCACGAGTTTTTAACGGTTAATTCGCATACGTTGAAAACAATTGCAGGTGCTGACGCAAAGGATGTAAGCTGATCAAGCACGTAGTCGGATTTCAGCGACAAGAAGCCAAGAGCAGAATGATTATTCGCAATAACCTAAGATTATCTTGTAATGATGGGACTTGGTAGTTAGAATTCAGTCGTCCCGAGACCAGACATTAAATCCCATCGAAGTGCTCGGACGCCTGGCGTCCATTGGTTAAATAACCAACACCGAGCGAGAATCATCTTTGCTTACTCAACTTCTTCGAACTCAACTATGTCTTCAGGTCTCCGACATCCTGCGAATGACGAATGGCGAGTGCAGGGTGACACTTGACGAGTTCCTAGAACGAGAACAGACCACGCAAATCGCAACCGGTGGCGTACATTGTAAAGAAACGGTATAGCCGATGATTTCCCGACTCGATGACCGTGTATCCGAGCCGACGTAATCGCGGGGCGTTTCGGATGACGCGATTACACGGCCCTGTAACTCCGCAGAAAGCGTACCTCTGCCTCCCCGATCCTGGCCGCCACTCGATCCCCTAGAACTCGGGGAAAAACCGCGTAATGACTGCGTCGGGCCGCAATGTTCCTCGCGGTAATTCACGAGCCGGGACTCCGTACTCTTTAGTTCCGTATCTCACGCGAGGAACACCGAGGCGAAGGCGGAGGGGAGGGGGGGAAGAAAAAACCAAGGGAAAGTGGGGTTAGAGACGGGGGTGGCTGGCTCGCGATTGTTCACGGAGTTGGCACGCGGCTTAATTGGCCTGATAGAGTCGATTCAATGCTCAACGAGCCTTTATGCGGCCCGTGACCCGCGTCGGATAAAAGTAATAACTTAACTGAAAGGTCAAAGGGTGCTTATCGCCCGCGGGACCGACCGTCGCGGACTCGGAAAAATCTGATTCGCGGAAAAAACGGACGAATGTTACGGAGAGGGAAGGATTCTTGAAGGGGTTGTGAGTCGAGACGGTTTCGAGAACGATAAGTCCAACTGGAGCACGTCTCTGGCCGAGTTGTTTCATTAAAAGCGAACTTTATTCGGAATGATAGGCTGGGAAGAAAAATTTTAATATCTTAAAGCTCCTGATGTGAACTCTGAGCCTCGTAAGTTAAAAGACACAATACTTGGACAGGCCCCAGTACTTAGACACTAATGTGACATTGATTTATATACTCGTTAGGATATACCCAGAGAATTTTTCGTCGGCATCACCGAAACGGGCCCATTTTTATCGCCCTCTTTCGCAGACCTAATAATTCGCGCGCGAATGCAACATGTTACAACAATAGACAGCCACCTTGGCGTCGCTGAGCCAGGCAAGCATAGGACCCGGCAAAGGGGCCCGACTCCGGGCCCCAGAGGCATCCATTAGAAATCAATTGGCCGCGTTAACTTTAAATACAGCCTAGCCGGGGCAACTAGCGATCGGGTTCGCACGCGCTGAATGATGTGGCACATTTTGACAATTAATAGCCGCTAATGAAGACGCGATCCCGCTTAGCCCGGAGCGGTCCCGCTATCCCCCTCTACGAGCCGGGCCCGTTGGGTGGATACAAAGAGATCGAAGGGGGTGGATGGGCGCGTCCATAACTCTCGAGCGTAATTGAGAGCTCAACTTTCGGTATCGCCAGCGTTCCGCCTCGCATTATCGCGCACGCCGGCCCTCGTATCGCGCAAAAAACGCGCGCGTGTTCGTGCTCAGGCCCCGTAAGGAGGTTTCATGCGCCGGCGTGCTTCGAGGGAACCCCGTCCAGGGGGCGGGTGGTCGTCTGGTCGGCTTTCGATAATTAATGCGGCCCGCGGATTAATTATTATTAGTCGGCTGATTTGTTTCAATTTGTAGTGGGTCCTTTGATCGCGCCGAATCGTGTTTCCGTCGATTTCACCCGGCGTCCCCGTTGATTTATCACCGTGGCTCGCGGACGCGCGTCGGGATTTACGTGAACGCGATCGAAGCGCAATAACGTTCGACCGTTTGTCGTTGCCCTTTTCGTTCCTCTGACGACGTAGGAGGCTGCGTTACGAGTAACCACGTGTCCAATTTGTTTGTTTGTTCATTCAATATCATACGATCAGTCTGAGATTCTTTAGAATTTCTGTAACAATGTGTTACACACTTATTAGTCATTGTTGAGACACGTTTCGCTGTGTTTGATCTAGAGTAACGCAA